AGTTCTGATAAAGATAGGTGAGACTTTACATATACATTTCTCTGTACATATCCGTTTGTACAAATTAATTTGATTTTTGTACATATACATCTGTGGTTAGACATTAACATCCTTATACACTTTCCTAAATCTCCTTTCACCAGTTCACGTCACCTGTAACACACAAAATCTAAGGTCATGTTAGCCATGATACTGCTATAGAAAATGCAAGCAGCAAGATTACTTAAAAAAAGCCAACCATATACCCATGAGGCCTTATGCCGCACACATTTAAACTTTAACACACTTGTTTCCTTTTGTGCCTAAAAGGATAGCAGAGAATACAAGTCAAAATATACATGGTAAGAGAAGTAAAAATGTCTTATTTAATGTCTCATACATTCTTTTCAGTATGCCTCATTTGCCTTTTTATTGCCCGTTTTTCTTCATTAGACCTGTAATGAAAAGTAGTACAGGAAAGGTATGTGAAATGCACAGGCTTTGTACACATTTCTACCAATACATTTAAAGGTGCCCTATGTAAAAATCGAGGTAAAATTATCCAAAAAATGAGCTACACGCATCAAAAGAATGAGAAGAAATAAGTGCAATGATGTCATTAAAAAATTGACAAGTTATAGTGCTGCCGAGATATAAACCTAAATTAGCATGCTAAATTACTAGCGCCGGCCCGACTGGTGTCGTAATACCAGTTTCGGCCATGGGAGGCGGTATGCGGGCAACATACATAACCACTAGCCAAACTGCAGTACACGAATAACTCGCACGGCTTGTGGGCGTACTTGAACCTGATGTCAATCGCTTCTATATGAGACCGGCCTTTATAATTTAGTGTTGAGATGTTGTTCATTGAGTCTCTAATCTCTAAAAATCTCCAAATGAACTGCGGTCTTACTATCGTGTCAATTCATTTGATTAATATGCGCGAGGGAGAGAGAGAGCAGGAGGACTGCGCTCGTATTGTTTGAAGACGTGAGAGTGCGCGCGCGCGGCCGGGGCGCTCTCTCTCTCTCTGCTCGTTATAAGCCCTGTCAAGCGCAGCAGTCATTATATTCTACATCACTCACCGATCGAAATAGGCTTTGGCGGGACAAAGCAGACAATTTGACGGTTTTAGAAGATTAACAACCCGAAACTAAAAAACAGACTAGAGTAGGCCAACTTTCTTGAGGTATACTGCCCCCATCTGGTATGGAATATGTGGAGTATGAATTTATTTTTTGGCAGACATTCCACATGGCACCTTTAAAATTACTTTTAGGCAAATTTTCATGACCTAACGTTCCATGAAACGTCTGTGTATACATGTAAAAAAAAGAATAATAAAAATGTCATGTTCAAATGTCAAAAATCACAGTATATCTTAACTAATTAAATGACAAGCTATGTGGTTTAATTAATACAAAATAAACACTGACACGCCAGTAAGCCGGTTACTGTGTCTGACCCGATCAACGGATTGATATACATCAATGGGAGGCAACAATAAGTAAATACAAGTGTCCAGTAACACTGAGAGTAACAGTAACTTTACAAGGTGACAGTGCCAAACTTTTGGAATACCAAATTCGGTAACTAAGAAGACTTTATAACAGCTTTGCCTTCCATTATTAATCTTATTTGATAACCATGAATTATTAACAAGATAACGTATTTGAATTCACCCAAAAAACAGTCGAGTTTATTTTATTAGAAAGGGAGCAGACAATGAAAGAGAAAAAGTGAAAGTGACACATGATGGCCTTAAAATTAAACATTACAAATTTAAAAGCAAAGAAATCAGAAGCATGCACAGTGCATTATTGGCTGGTTCGTCACTATAGTATACTTAAAACTAACTAAAGTGACATAGGCAAAAGACTGTTAAACTGTTGCACTGCCCACTGAAAGTGATTTTTGATGTGGTAATACATCAACTGTGGCATGCTGGTGTACTGGCAAATGGGCACTTACTACTGCAGTCTTTTAAATACTGCTCACACTCCCCCCTTGCTTAATACAGTTGTGTGCATTTTTGCAGGGGGCAATGGCTCTTAAAAGAGCCTTTGAGTTATAAAGTGAACAACAACAACAAAAAAATAGGTGAGAGAGAGGGAGGGGTAGTAAGAGTTAGAGAATAATTAACACAGGCTAATATAAAGTAAAATAGCAAAAGTGGTACACGGGGAATATAAATGGGGATGAAAATGCCTAGGATCTGCAAAGATAAGCAAGTATAGAGCATAAGAATTAGCATAAAATGTTGTAGTGCAGGGGTGTCCAAAGTCGCTCCCGGAGGGCCACTTTCCTGCAGAGTTTAGCTTCAACTTGCCTCAACACACCTGCCTGGAAGTTTCTAGTATGCCTAGTAAGATCTTGATTAGCTGGTTCGGGTGTTCAGGTTGGAGATTAACTCTATAGGACAGTTGCCCTCCAGCAGGATTGGACAGTGCGTATAGCAGCATAACAGTATGCAATATATAAGACAAGCCCTACTTTCAATGATCGTTAAACTTAAGTTTTATTGAATTTGTATTACTATTTTCATGTTTAATTTAATAAATGTATACTTATTAATAATAATAATATTAATATCAAAATAGTTTACATTGAATCAATTTATTCATAGAAGTGTGTGTGTGTGTGTGTAGAGAGAGAGAGATATAGTGTGTGTATATATGTGTGTATTTGTAAATATATACACATACACACTCATATACTTAGGCCTACGATGCTTTTGGGAAACGTTGCCTAGTTATTTGTGTGATATGGTGAGTAAAGTTACACAATCTTATTTTTAAAATACTTCCTTTTAACATCACACTAAACGCCACTCAGAATAAAAAAATGAAATAATTTTTTTTTTTTTTTTTTTAAAGAGTTGCTTACCTGTACTCACCATGCTGCGATGAACCACGGAAATGAAAACCTGCTAGAATCGAAGTTATGACTTGACGCCACTAACCAATGAGAAGAGATGTGGGCCGGACGAGACATGCAGCCCCGCCCCAGGTGCATATGGGGTGAGAATTGTTGCATTATTCCAAATAAATAGATTATGATCCACAAATAAATGTAAAGAGATTCACAAAAATATATAAAATTCACAAATACATAGATTAAGATCCACAAATAAATGTAAAGAGTTTCACAAATTTTTTTAAAACTCACAAATAAATAAAATGAGATTTTTTGTGAAACTCTTTACATTTATTTGTGGATCTTAATCTATGTATTTGTGAATTTGATATATTTTTGTGAATCTCTTTACATTTATTTGTGGATCATAATCTATTTATTTGGAATAATGCAACAATTCTCCCCCCATAGGTGCACCCCTGCCCCGATCAGCAGGCTGCAGCCAGGTGCTTCTCGAAGGCAGAGCTTCAACAGCTTGTGTCCTGAAAACTTCAAAAACTTTTAGCCTTTTATGTTCAAACCGGAGTCAGACAAAGATGGAGAGACTCAAGAAGAAGTGACAACATGTAGAATGCAACAGGACATTTCTGAATGGTTAGTTGTTGAATTTATGTAGCTGATGTGTAGTTATCTTCTAGTCATTAATAAGCATATTCTGTCATGATAATCTATAAATAGTGTTCCCGTGGGCGGGGTTTATGTAAATTTTAGGGTTTGTGAGGTCACTAACCCAGGAGGAATGTCGTGTAGTCCCTACCAGCCGTTTGTTGTAGTCCTTAAAAAGCAATTTCTTTAAAAGAAAATATCTCCCTTTGCAGATGTTGTTTATGCTCAAACAGCAACATTACACACTAACTAAAGCTAAAAAAGAGAAATCATAAATCAACCACCTCTTTAATGAAAAAGTCAAGTAGTTTGAATCACTGGATGTAACTGTCAATCGTTTGACATTTCTATAGCAAAACATTTGACATGTATTAAATGTTTCGCTTTATACTCCCAACATTAAACTGACCTTTAACCACCAAGGATGCTGGAAGCGGATTTGATATGCCCACGATAATAGGATTTATGTTAGACTTTATCCTCTTAATTTTTCTCCATTAGCCTTCAGAGAGCAGAAAAGGGCAGGTTATTCCTTGTTACATAAACAATGATTACAAAAGCAGATTCTTGATTAATAAAGACTTTTTCCACATGATTCCTTGTAGTATACAGTACTATGACCTCAACATTTTTACCACAGTGCATGATTTGTACGCTAATACAAGTTAGCATTACATAAACAGCTCCATGGTACAGCATTGCACCATTTTCTTCATTGTAGAACGTATAGGAGAAGAGCTGAATTGATCTCATCTTCTGCAACTCTATGATGGTGCTGCAGCAGATCTACAGAAGTTGCTGAGCCAGCACTGAGATTCACAGCTGATGTTCCCACATCCCAAAACAAGAAAGCTCACAGCGCATATGCTGCAGCTTTTATGTGGGCTGTTTACCATAGCCATATTACAATTTATATTCTACTCATTTTTAAATGTTAGATGTATACAACTGAAATATTTAACACAAATATAATTGTATAATGCAACCATTCGGATACTAAGCAGCTTTTCAGAGAAATTTGCCATAAAAGCTTCAGTGAGCAATCTAAAAGCAACAGTGGTGAGAAACTAGATAGAGTAAAATACTTTTTCATATGCCCCTGAGCTGTACAGTAAACAACCCACAAAAATGCAGCATATAATTTGAGATGCAGGAACATTTGCGGCAAACTTTGGCACATCCCTTACATATCATGCTCCCGAGGTTTGTCAAAATTAACCACTATAAATGTAATGTTCATGAATCATCTATGAGCAGAGCAGAACCTCACTCCTCACATCAAGTTACATGTCTGAGTGCTCATGTGTGGGGTTTTTTCTCTCAGTAGACGGGTATATTTCCTCAACTACTTGCTCAACAACACCTTAATGTTCCACAAAGCACAAGCATTACACTACCAGCCAATTAAAAAGATTATTTATGCTTTTTTTTTTAGCAACACCTGATTTTAAGTCAATCATAAAACCAAACCAAACAGTGATGCTTTAGATAGTAAATATAGGCTTTGACGCTTTATTTTACAACAATTAAGTCTTAACATTTCACAAACACTTTTATAAACCATATAAAAAATTATTTACACATCAAAAACCTTTAAACTTTTTGTAATCAATCATTCTTTCAGGGTTTATCACTCCCAGGTCATTAACAGCTCTTTATATGCACCCTCCACCACAGGATGTATTTTTTCCCCCCAATTTAAATTCATCATTCTGCAACAAGTGCTTATGCTAAAACAAACTTAAAATCCAGATTTACAGTTATTCTAGTACAACGCAATCAAAAAGATGCATAAAGCTTCACCCTTGAAGCACGACCACTTTATTCAGCATTCACTCCGGCTCCATGGTTTATTTACAGTTCGGTAATGCTGGCCGTACGATGTTCCCCATGTCTGACCCTGACCAAAAAACCAACTTAATTGAACATAAAAATTAATGTTTGCTTCAAAGATGCAATGGAAATGTCATGAAACAGAAAAGGTTAAAGCCAAAAGGCATATTTGATCTGACCTTTACATTACGTACCTGGCTAATTACTTCCCCTTCTGCATAAACTGCATAACTGAGATTTAAAGGTTAAACTTCCACAGCTGCTTTATATTGCGCTTACGAATAGATAAGGAATTGTGTGCAAATGTTTCAAAGGCTCTTGCATGTTTAACCTGAAATGGCAAACAAAGACGCAAAACCATTTCAGTTAAGAAACAAGACTTCAATGAGACTAAGAAACCTGGTCTGAGTGAACACGAGAAGGTGCCATCAAGAAGTTAAAAGGCACAAATAGCATTAAACTAAAAGAGCATGAAGCTTTGGAAATATGAGTGTTTTCGAATGCTAACTTGTGATTAAAAAGACACGTATTGGAGAAAACTCTGTCCGATCTGGTTAATAACATATCAGTTGCACTCATGACGTCTTCAACTTGACCAGAGCTTTTAAAACTTCATCAGATCACAAGAATAAAAGGATTCTCAAGCCGGCTCTGGTTCACGCATGTTGGTCTGATGTGGCATGAGCATTAGGAGAGCGAAAGTGGACGACACGCTAGAAAACCGCTCATGGAGAGAGTTGTTACCGTTCCATTCAGGAATCACAGAGGATTCTACAGAGTTGAAGCAACTGGAATTACTGTCAGAACCTGGACAAAGTCCAAGACATAGTCTCTGAAGAACCAGATGGAATTTCCTTCTAAAGCTATGGTTGATCCAGAAGTAGAAGATACAATTGAGGAAGCCATTGGAGGTTGGTAACCACACAGCAATGAACTCAATCCATTCTGGGACACCACTGCCTGAAATCGCTGTGAACAAGGGAAAATGCTTTAGGACTTATTTTTACGTTAATATGTTAGCATCATGTGATGCGCTTTGGTCGATCGGGTCACAAGTGGACGACGCTAAATACAGGTGCAAACGGAGTCTAAAACGCTTTGAACTTGTCCATTTTCGACCACTTTGGGTAGTCAAAAACGCATTTGACTGAATTGCTTTCGTAGTGTAAACGCTCATGTGGTCGAATAGCCACAAAAGACCGTCTACTCTCTGACTACTGAATGCGTAAACATTATGGGAAGCGCTCTAGCCAAACGGGATTTAAAATTTGGGTGGAGACCCAAGTTTGGTTTGAAGACGAAAAACGTACCAAGCACAATGTTCTCTCACCATTCCTGATTTTTGAACACACACTCAGTGTTCGGCTGGTCTTGCGGCTGTCAGAGCAGAAAGGTGTGTTTTTCCGTTTTCTCCGGTTGGGTTCATATGTAAATTACGTGAGCTTATTTCGTCCATTAGAACAAAAGATCTCAAAAAGTAATTTGCTCATACAGTCATACATTTACCTGCCCATAGATCCTCCCCTTGAAGAAATCAGGACAGAAGTGGTTGAAAGTGGACAAAAGAGTCGGATTAAAACACTAGGTGAAAACGGGAATGTGTCTCCCAAATCTACTTGTGATCTGATCGACCAAAACGCATCTTAACACCAGGTGTAAACAGGACCTATGACATTTACAAAGCAGTATCTAATCTAGAAAGTCAATGTAAGAAATGTCTGACTTCAAGGTTAGATTAAAAAGGACAATTTATTAATTTGTCAGTTGCTCAATTTATTGTCATTCCAAACCTACAGGGCTTACATTAGAAAGCAAACTGATATGTTGGCCGACAGAAACAAATCAGAAATGCACTCGATTTAAGCTCCTTTTTTATCATCACTGTAACATATTTTGCTTTTTGGATTAGATAAGTGTTCCAAAATAGAAGCAAATGAGAGAATACTTAAAATATACATGTGTGTAATTCCAATGCTCTGTCTTTTGTGTTGATATTTAAAGATGGCCATCTGTAAGCATGACTGTTTGGATTTATATGAAATGGTAACACCTTACAAGAAGAGTCCATTTGTAATATTAACTAAGGTTAATAAAATTAAATAATTTCAGCATTTACTAATAGATTTTTACATTTTAAAATTCTCTCTCTTGACATTAATGCACTATGAACTAACAAATAATGATCAAGGCATAATTCATATTTTTTTTTCTTTAAAAAGTACAGTACATTTTCATGGTTCAGTACTGTTTTTCAACTTTTGTAATACAGTTCAGCGCTATTTTATGTGTTATGTTTGTTTTCATTCAGTATCCATTTTAAAAACTATCAGTTGATTAATCTGTCATCGGCCAACCTACTTATAGTTATCGGTCGACCTCTATGCAAAAGTTTTTGCGAAGAAACGCAAAGTTTCTCGGGGGAACGCAAAACATTTGCGAGAGAACGCAAAAGCATTGACTTGTTTTTTTTCCTCCCATATCTTTTTTTCCCCCCACCACCATGTCCCCTTAGGACATGTACTACCTGTTTTCTAAACGCAAGTAGAAAATATATATATATTCCATTTGGAAATTTTACTCCATTTCACTCATTGCTTTTGACTACTTTAACTATTTACCAAGTAAAACTGGCACACTGCCTACAATACATTTGGCTCAATCCAATATATTTGTATTTCTTTCACCCCTGAAGTTATTTAGCAGAAAGCTCAAGCTGCTCTATTCCACACAACCAAAGTAGACGGTAACCAAGGGCTGTCAAACAAGTGCCATAAAAGTGGGCAATTTAAACGCTATGTAGGAGGGACTTCAGTCTCCTTGTCTTGTCTTTCATCTCAGTCCTCCTGTCTCTGTGATTATCTCTTCATGTCTGCTGAAAACAGCAGCTGCAGTAAGCTAAGGTCATTGCATGCAGAGTCCTTCCCTTATCAGTTTTTTAACATTTATTTCCCCCTCTCAAGTCAGTGATGCACCAGCCATAGGCACCATAGCCACAAATAAATTTAAAAAGCATGGTAACTGTATCAGCAAGGTTCAATTTGTTTGTTACCATGACCTAACAATGAAAAATACTTCTAAACCTTTCATTAAATCATCTTAATTTGAACATTTACTTATACATTAAAAATCATTAAAAATGCATTATTAAAATATAACCATCTGTTAAAGGGTTAGTTCACCCAAAAATTCAAATTATCCCATAATTTACTGACCCTCAAGCCATCCTATGGCTGAAACAAGAAAGTCATATCCGCCTAAACACAATTTGCATTATATTAAAATATATCCTGGCTCTTTCAAGCTTTATAATGGGAGTGAATGGTACTGTACCTTAGATTTTGAAGCCCAAAAAAGCACATCCATCCATCATAAAATTAATCCATAAGGCTCCAGGGGGTTAATAAAGGCATTCTGAAGCGAAGCGATATGTTTTTGTAAGAAAAATAACTATATTTCTAACTTTACCAACTATAAATCCCTGGGTTCAGATAATGGCCGTACTTGAGTCAAGTTCTGGCAGAAGTTACCTCTTGGCCTATAAGAAGAAAGTCATATTCTGACTTGAAGATGGGTAAATTATGGGATCATTTTTGGGTGAACTAACCCTTTAATTTTATTTAATTGCCCTGAGTTGCCATGAACTAAAATGAAAAAGTTGTATTTTTAAGTAATGAACAAAACAAAGATTAATACTGTAACATATATTGCTCATTGTTAGTATAGTGGGACGTTATTGTAAAGAGTACCAAAGCAACGAAATACACTAAACAAAATACACCACCTCATTCAAATAAAGCCAATCCTTATGTGAATGCATGAATGAAAGTTCCTCAACACTGTGGCTTAAGATAAAACGGATAAGAGTAAAAAAACAAAAAAAAAAACTTTACCGGTTTGGATGAAAGGCACTTAAAATTAAAGTAATGTTTCATGTTGTTTCAAACCTGTAGGAGTTTCATCAATTTATTTTATTAGGATAAACCCCTTGAGATGCATCATCTCGTTTTCGAGGGGGTCCTAATGTTTCTTTCTTGAAAGTTTCTTTCTTATGTTGAACACAAAGGAAGATATTTTGATTAATGTTGGTAACCAGACAGTTGACGGTAGCCATTGACTTCCATAGTAGGAAAAAAAAAATGCCATGGAAGTCAACGGGTGCCTTAACGGTCTGTCTGGTTACCAACATTCTTCAAAATATCTTCTTTTGTGTTCAACAGAAGAAAGAAACTCATACAGGTTTGGAACAACTTGACGGTGAGTAAAAGATGACAATATTATCATGTTTGGGTGAACTATCCATTTAAGTGCCTGTGAGGGTAGGCCTATTTAAGACAAAAAGACATTGAATTGACCTACTTTTAAGTGTTTGTAACATTTGATCAAAGTTTACTTCCATTCTATGCATAAAAAAATAAAAGAGCAGCTTGGATATTCCGCTAAACATCTGCTTTTGTGTTTGGAACAACAGGAGAATGAACAAATGATAATCAATCAAGATCTCACCATTGTAAAGCATGATGACCATGCAGGGCGTCCAGCAGGTGTAGTAAACGGTCATGACTGGCACTAGAACGCGTAAGGCGACTTTAGGCCTGTATCCTCCACCCCAGCTGTGTCTTCTCAACTTTAACCTCTGTCTCTTGGCTGCTATCCACAGTCTGAGGTTACAGAAGGTCATGATGGCCGAGCACGGGAAGAAGATGAAGCACGTCAGCGTGAGGGAGTAAGTGACGTTGCTGGAGTACATGGGGTTGCAGACGAGAGACGCTCTGGAGAAGTGCACTTCAATGATGCCCGCTGGGAACGAGATGGGAACGAGGAGGAGAGGAGGGAAAATCCACGCGAACGAGATTAAAAGCAGAGCTCTTCTCCTGGTCAACACGGTGGAGTATTTCAGAGGGTAAAACACCGCGATGTATCTTTCCAGACTGATGGTTGCGAGCGTGTACATGCAGGTGGAATAAATAGTTGCGTTGAAAAATGCCACGACGTGACAGAAGGGGTCCGGGCCCTTGTTATATTCCTTCATGAAACTCACGCACAGATTTAGCGGCATGATAAGCAGTCCAAACGCCGAGTCCGCTCCCGTTAACGATAAAAGAAAGTAGCGAGAGTTTCTCGACCACCCCGAAACAGCTGAAGCTATGACCATCACTACAGCAATGTTTCCCAAAGTTATCATCACTCCCAAAACTGATATAATTCCAATTTTAATGGGGCGGTGAGCCTCCAGTGTCCTCTGTAGATCCGTGACATTCAAGTCCACATGTGATGCGATGGAGACGTTTATGTCGGACATCATGGCGCATTAATCAATGACCCATGGTGATTTGAAAAATCCTTATTTTTCAAACGTTACAAACAGGTTTAACAAAGATCAAATGTAAGCACACAAAATCTACATAGCAGACGCTGCCTCCAGGAAAGATGAACACCTGTAGCAAATCAAGATCAGTCACGTGATGCCACCCTGTTGTTAATTATCATCACATTACAGGTGACCCGTTTGGAAACGGAGCAACTCAGTCGTGTTTTTAAAGTCTCCGTGAAATCAAAATGGAAGTTTTTTTGGCTTATAGTATAGGCTATGAATCTTACTTTTATCTGCTTGTGTGCTCCAAAACAATGACAAAATTCGCATTTAGAAGATATACACATTCAAAACTTACTTGGATATCAATATGGATCAATGATTTTGATGACATCACCCTGCACTTCAGCTTCTTGTCAGATTTTCTGTCCAATCAAATGCTCTCTATAATCTACAGCATCCCGCCCCCAAATAGAGACTGATAATCAAAGTTGACAGTTCTTTTTTGTTTATGGAATATTGCAGTATTAATTAAAAATATTTTATCAATGTACATCATTAAAAAAAAAGGAAAAAAGATGTGCCCTCCTAATCTTTAATCAAAATAACTTCCCCTCCCTCTTGCAGCTCATCTCTTCTCTTCTCTGATGAGGTGTTTACTGACACGAGGGCGGGATCAACCTGTCACTCACATGAGATCGACCAATAGCAAACCACAACCATCCAATCAATTCCACATGGACAAAATCAAATCCCGTCCTACATTTTGTTCTTGTTCGAGTGCTGTTTCACACGGATTTATGTCACAATAGGAAAGAAAAGACCTATCGCATCTTCCATTTGATGCTGACATTAATAAGGTAGTAAACAAAAGCTTAAGGCTGAAATTAGATACAAAAGTCCCTAAGTGAATTGTGCTGAATTAATTGCAGAGGTTTTTAATACGTTAGAGGTTTAGAACAAATCAGGCGTGAACCACAGTGAATGGCATGATATGCAGATGAATGTCAAAGAACACTATGACATGGACGAATGCATAGATAATGTGCAGTTTTCGGCTGTTTTTACACTGATGAGCTGAATTACTAACTTGACAGTAAAGCATTCTGCTGGATGTTTCCCTGCCTATTATGACAGTTTTCCTTGCAAGATAATTATTAAAGAAGTGCTATAAGTGCTAAAGTTAAGTTGTGCCTCAACTAGATGTTCTTCTGTAAAAATCACTGTCACTATCAAAAATACAATTATCCAAAACATCGACAACTTGCTGTTGAAGCTGTATATGAAAGCACAACATCATAGTCCAACTCCTCATTGACTTGATGTGTTCATTAAAGGATTAGTTCACTTTTAAAAAAACTTTTGCTGATAATTTACTCACCCCCATGTCATCCAAGATGTCCATGTCTTTCTTTCTTCAGGCGAAAAGAAATTAAGGTTTTTGATGAAAACATTCCAGGATTTTTCTCCATATAATGCACTTTACTGGGCAGCAAACGGTTCAAGGTCCAAAAGACAGTTTCAGTGCAAACTGCAAACTGTTCAAATGGTTTTAAACGACACCAGACGATGAATAAGGGTCTTATCAAGCGAAACGATCGCTCATTTAAAAAAAAAAAAAACAAAGTTTAAGTTTTATAAGCTCACATGCTCGCCTTTCTCTGTTCTGTGTGACTCTCCTGTTCGAACTCGTTCATCAAAATGAACAAATCTTTTTACGAGTCAATTCGTTCATTTCGGTCGTTAAATGAATCAAATGACTCGAAAAAAGATTTGTTCATTTTGACGAACGAGTTCGAACAGGAGAGTCACGAACGTGCATTACAGAACAGAGCAAGGCGGGCATTTGAGCTTATAAAACTTAAACTTTGTTATTTATTTTTTAAATGACCGATCGTTTCGCTTGATAAGACCATTATTCATCGTCTGGAATCGTTTAAAGCCCTTTGAACAGTTTGCAGTTTGCACTGAAACTGTCTTTTGGACCTTGGACCGTTTGGTACCCAGTAAAGTGCATTATATGGAGAAAAATCCTGGAATGTTTTCATCAAAAACCTTAATTTCTTTTCGACTGAAGAAAGAAAGACATGGACAACTTGGATGACATGGGGGTGAGTAAATTATCAGCAAAAGTTTTTTTTAAAGTGAACTACTCCTTTAAGAGCCGAAACATTAAAATGCATCTTTTGTTCGGTAGCTCTGGGGTTCAGATTATCAGAAAGCCTTGCATGAAGATCACAAATCATTCAATTTGTCTGCACTGTAAAAAATTATTGTGATTTTAACGGTGAAAGACTGAGGGTGAGACTGTAAAAATGCTACAGTGAAAAACTGTTAATTGGTTAACAGAAAGTTTCCTTACTATATACGGTAAATAACTGTGATATGTATAATGGTACATTTTACTGTAAAATACTGTTTTTGGAAGCGAAAAAGAACAAGTCATTGTAAGTCATTGTATAAATTGACATTCCCACAATTCCCTGCGTGACACTTCACATTTGGTGTATTTTTTTTAAATAACTGTTTTTTCATAATTTTCTTTTAATCAGTTATGTACATTGGGGTTTTATGTTACATTTAATGTTGTTAAATTAATGTTTATTGCATTTTTAAAATTTCAACATGTTACCATGATGGTGTTTAATGTTTGTGTGAATGACACTGTGCAGCTTCTACAATACATATTAGTATTAACTTTCTTGTGGAAGAGCTGCTTGTGAAGAGCTTTGATGATTGATCATGTGACTCATCACTGTTGTGATTATTGGCTGTCAGTTATTACAATAGTACAAAACAGATATTAATACTTCAAAAGGTCAGTAAATTAACATTATATCAGATAATGAAATACGGTTTATTGCTGTAAAATTAAATACGGTTAAAAGTCTGTAAAACCTAAAATGTTGCTACCGTATTTTTTACAGGAAATTTCTGGTAACCACAGCTGACAGCTGATTTTTTTTTACAGTGTGTGTAATTATTATTACACATAACCCAAACATGGGTGAGAGGGACTTGTGAATGTTTCAATCATCTTTTGATTCAGAAAAGAGGCTCTTGATTAATCTCCCTGTAGTGTCAAAAGAATAGTTCAGAATCTCTGTTATTCTCTTTAATAACATCAGAAAACCTCCCTGCTGTAACTTCCAGCATGACTTCAGTAGTTAGTTCCACCAAATGACAACTGGCATGAGTGAGCATGAAGCTTTGATTGATAGAAAATTGAGAGATTGTGAAGGGAAAGTGGAGTTTGATTCGAGATTAAATTCGTCGCCGTGTAAGTCATGTACGTCACCTCGGATATTTGCTCATCTGACATTCTCTTGTTGATTCACGGTAAAATGAAGTTTTCATGAAAGTTCAGCGCTTTATTGCAGTGTGATGGTTTGATGTCTCACTTTAACTCTTGACACGTGCAGGCTTTGGCCTACTTGCAGATTAGGCCAGTTTATGACGAGGATTCTTAATGGCTAATCTTTTCATAAATTAATCGCTTAAACCATTAGTCACACTGAGTTATAAATATACCCATTTGATGTAAAATAACATAGTTCTAATCAAAGCTGGGCAAAAACCCTACTGAAACCATGCCAGTACTTTGAACTATTTGTTTAGTCAGTTTCCCAGTAGCTGGACGCTTGGCATTCTTTGTTTATTGCCTTTTTTCCTAGTAATCATCATAAATTAGGCATCATTTGGAAGCTTTACACTCACAATTCATCTTGTGACATCTTTTGTTTTTAAAATTGGAGATTGCATTACCATGGAAACAGTACTTAATAATTTTACCTGCTCAATTTTTGTGGTATTTGTTAGATATGGCTTTTATGGCGCTTTTCCATTACCAGTACCAGCTCGACTCGACTCGACTCGCCTTGGCTCGCCTCGACTCGGCTCGCTTTTCGCTCCGTTTTCCATTGCAGAAAGTACCGCCACAAATAGTACCCGGTCGTCATAGCGACGCATTTCGTTCCTCGTTGCCCCATCAAGCTCTCGCTGGATCCTCTCTTCGGCAACCAAACAAAGGAATGTCTGCACCTCCTCGTTTGACCACGGCGTATTCTTCCGAGTTGCCATAATAATAGTAGTAAGTTTAGTAACTATCTCTGGCCAAACTATTTAAAAATGGCGGGGTTATTCTGGATACTCCATCTGGCGCGTGCAATGATGACGCAGATTCTCTGTGACCAATCAGCAGTCGGCATTGTTTTCACGTCACATTTTAGTATCGGCTTAGCTCGCCTCAGCTCGCTTAGAACCTCGCCGGAGGTGGTACGAAAAAAAGTACCCGAAAGCAGGTACAGGTTCAACTTTTACACAGTGGAAAACCAAACAAAGGCGAGTCGAGTCGAGCCGAGCCGAGGCGAGCTGGTACTGTGTAGTGGAAAAGCGCCATTAGATTCCAAATTATATTTAAAAAAAATATATATATATATATATATACCGTATATAGGGTATAACGGGGCTAAAGGTACACCCTGAGAAAAATTTGCTTTTTACTCAAATAGTGTATGATTGAAATGATAATAAAAAAACAAAAAAAAAAACATAAATATATATATTTTTAAATCTTACAAATGTATGAGGTGGCAATGTGGGCCTTTTACCCCACACACAAGGTAAAACCGGCATGGGGCAAAAGGCACACATGTTTTTAATAATCTAAGTTAATATTTTTTCAAAACAATCACTTTAGCAAAGTTTGTACTATTTTCTTTTTTTTTTGATAAATGAATTCATTTAGGTTCAATAAATATATTGTTATTAAAATGTTTATTTTAAAACTACAGAAAAAAAAATATTTTAAAAAGTAAAGATTCTAAAAGCATTGAAAGAGATCCCATAATAATTTAATATAGCTTTACAGTAGTAACAAATAAATATGATATTTTATTATATTATATGATTAATATCATATTTTTTAAATATAATGGTTTCATTATAATCTTCATTGATTATCTCTAAGGTGGACACCCAACTTAATATATGATACTTACCATCTGAATCTAACCATGTCAACAAATGGAAAAGGGCAGTCAGCTGTTTATTATCATGTTATTTCACCCCAACAGCAGAGGTGACTTTTATATTCTTCCGTTATTTAAAAACTGTTGCTTTAATTTCCTTGAACAAAACTGAAAATCATTAACAAGACCTCGCAGAATCAACTTTACTATCAAGGATCAGC